GGTTCATAGTTTGTAGAGATGTACTCTGTATCAACGGACAGGATTGCTTCCTGTTTTCTCTATAGCTCTGGAAACTACATTAAGGCGTTGCCTGGGTACTGTAGGTTTAAGGTGGTGAGGTCTGGCAGGGCAGTTGATGTGGTACTTTTGAGAGGTTGCTGTTGTTTTTTAATGGTGATAAATGGTTTGTTAGGGGGCAGCCAGATGTAAGCTGGATTTCAATAACAGGCTTTCCACACAGATGGGAAAGAGTAGCATTTGTGGGAATCTTTTTCTGGATGCCCCCTTTCTGATGGAACTGTGGGAGTAGTTGTTAGAAATGAAACAAAAATGTCATTTCTGAAACATTTGCCCACTCTGCATGATTAATCTGTGTATTTCATCCTTAGCATCATTAGACTGTATTCAGTTAATCACCTTCCTTAGTAACCATAATTAGAAAAAAAGTGGTTTTTTGTTCAGAAATGACCTCTTTACATATTGTTTCCGAGTCTGAAGGGCTTCAAAGATTATTATGTCTGAAATATTTACCCATTTAATGTGTTAATATGCCAGGATCTATTGATCCAGGCTGCTTAATAGTTCTCTTTCTGGGTTGATTTCTCTTGTATTTATTTCCATATTCATAGTGTTAATTATTTGCTCACAATTTAAAGAGATAGTGGTTTATAAATGTTAATACATATCACATAACTATCTTCTAGGTAAAACAACATATTTTATGTTTAGGCACTGACCAGGTAAGAGATTAAATCTCAATTTATGTTTATTTATTTTTTACTACCTTCCCTTCTCATACAGGCCAAGACACCAACCAGGTAGGAGATCTAACCTAATTTTGGTTTATTTTTTCCATTTTTACCACCTTCCCTCCTTTTGCAGGTGAAGACATTGACCAGGTAAGGAATCAAAACCAATTTGTCTTACACTGAGACGGTAAGAGATGAAAACTAATTTTGGTTTATTTTTTGCATTTTTATCGCCTTCCCTCCTTATACAGGTAAAGATACTGACCAGGTAATGCTGATGATGCCGTTTTATTGTCAACCACATGCATAAGATTTAGAAGACTTCTGAGATCCTTCTCCACTTACTGTAATGAAGAACAACTAATAATTAACAATGCTAAAACTAAGATTATGGTGGTGAGTAGAAGGAGAATAAAGCACAAATGGTGTATAAATGGACACACTGTAGAGCAAGTAGCATGCTATAAATACCTTGGCATAGTTTTTCATTCTTCAGGATCCTTGTTTACTCATGTAAAGCACGCAGCAATGAATGCCCAGAAAAATACTGGGGCAATAACAAGATTTTTTCATACTGTTGGGGGTAAACATGTACCATCGGTAATAAAAGTTTTTAAGGCCAGGACTGTAGGGGACGTGGTGGCGCTGTGGGCTAAACCGCAGAAGCCTGTGCTGCAGGGTCAGAAGACCAAGCAGTCGTAAGATCGAATCCACGCGACGGAGTGAGCGCCCGTTGCTTGTCCCAGCTCCCGCCAACCTAGCGATTCGAAAGCATGCAAATGCGAGTAGATAAATAGGTACCATCTCGGTGGGAAGGTAATACAGCGTTCTGTGTCTAAATCACACTGGCCATGTGACCACGGAAAGATTGTCTTCGGACAAAACGCTGGCTCTATGGCTTGAAGAGCGGGCTGAGCGCCGCCCCCTAAAGTCGGACACGACTGGACAAAAATTGTCAAGGGGAACCTTTAGCTTTACTTTTTTAAGGCCAGGATTATCTCACAAATGCTTTATGGTTCTCAACTATTCGCTTAAACTAATCTACGACCTCTGGAGATTGTTCAGACCAAATTTGCCAGAGCCATTCTTGGAGTTCCACCTTGTACTTCCAATGTGGCTCTTCGCTTAGAGGTTGAGTTAATATCCATTAAAGCACAGGGCAAAGTCCTTATGCTGAAATATTGGCTTAAACTTATTTTTTTTCATTAGAACTCTTGGCCCCACTGATCCTACTAGATTCCTTTCAGTCGGAGTGGAAGAAGCATATAACAGAAGAGATATTGAAAACTGGCTTTTCTCCCAGTATACTTATAGCAATGGGTCTTACAGATGCCATTAAAACGGTGAAGTTAAGGGTATGGGACATTGAACTACAGGACCATGTTGGCCAGTTAGGGAAATATAACTTTCTTAAGAAATATGCTTTTATTACCTCTTCGTATTTAGCCAGCACTATCTCATCTAAAGTCATAAGGGCTTTTACGCTAGTTAGGCTTAATGTACTACTTTCTAAGCTTCTGGAGGGAAGATTTTGAGGTTTGCGTGCATCAGATTGTCCCTGCCCTTGTAATAGTGATAAAGTTGAATCACTTGGTCATGTTCTTCTTTTCTGTACTTGTTATCGGGATCTTCACATGGAGCTTTTATCACCTATTATTTAACTTATATGTCGCCCACTCTGGGCGGCTTACAACAATTAAAATTCAATTAAAATACAATAAAAGATAAAATGATTAAAATACAATTAAAATTGCCACCAGGACCCACAGTTTATGTTATTTCAATTAAAAGCCTTCTGGAACAGGAAGGTTTTGACCTGGCGCCGAAATGTCATCAACGTCGGCGCCAGACGAATTTCAGTCGGAAGGGCATTCCATAGTCTGGGGGCAGCTGCCGGAAAGGCCCTTTGTCTACAAGCCATCCCTCTTACCTCCTTGAGTGACGGCTCTTTCGAAAGGGCCCCCTGGCTAGATCTTAACTGCCAGGTAGGTTCATATGGAAGGAGGCGGTCCTTCAGATATTCACGGCCCAAGCCGTTTAGGGCTTTATATGTCAAAACAAGCACTTTGAATTGAGCCCAGGCAGCAACTGGTAACCAATGTAACTTAAACAGAATCAGCTTGAGGTGTCCTCTAGCGGCCCTACCACTCACCAGCCATGCAGCTCAATTCTGGACCAGTTGCAGTCACCAGACTGCCTTCACAGGCACGTAGAGCACATTGCAATAATCTATACGAGATGTTACCAGTGCATGTGTAACTGTCATGAGACTCTGCTCATCCAGGTAGGGATGTAGCTGGTACAATTTCCGCAGCTGAAGGAAGGCACCCCTGGCCACCGAGTCCACCTGGGCTTCCAGAGTTAGACTGGGGTCCAGGAGCACTCCCAGGCTGCAGACCCTGTCCCTTAGGTCAAGGGTCCCCAACCCCCGGTCCGCGGCCCGGTGCCGGTCCATGGACTTCCTTCAACTTGGCCACTGACACGGATCTCCACCCCTGCCTGCATGCACAGGGGGAGCATGTTGCGCTTCCTTCCTTCCCTCCCTCCCTGGCACATCACCAGAACACTTCAGAGCACCTTGCCAGGTGACCCGTGAAGAGTGGCGGGGTGGGGGTGGGGTGGAGAGAGAGAGAGACCTAAAACCAGAAGCCAACCCCCTGGCTCACTAGCTCTGCTGCTTCAGAGGGAAAAGACTGCTAGGCAGGGAGAAGGCTCCCCTTCTGGACATGTGGGCACTTTGGGGGGGCAGGCAGGACCCTACGAGGCAGGGAGAGTCGGTGGTGGAGTTGCTCCTCTGCCTTCCAGGACCAGGGAGAAAACTCTGAAGCAGGGTGCTTCTGGGAGCCCCTGATGAGGAAGCCCCGTGCTCACCAAGTAGGTGCTGCCGCTGCTGCTCCCACTCTTGGTTTGGCTGAAATTAGAAGCCAGGCAGATTTTGAGAGTGGGTGGGCATGTTGCGCTTGCGGCTAGGCGTGTTGCACTCGTGCGCATGTGCACAAGTGCGACATGCCCCTCCAGAAGTGCGACATGCCCACCCATGAGCACGGGGGTGCCCCCACCCCCCAACCAGTCCACGCACAGAGCCCACACCCCCAAACAGTCCGTGGTCCCAAAAAGTGGGGACCGCTGTCCTAATAGATGGAAATCTTAATCCACAATTTGAAACATAATATCTGTTGGAGCTGGAAAAGTTATATCATCCAGAAAATGGAAGGGAAGTGTTTAGAGCTAGTTCGGGGAGTTTGAATTAGGAAGAGAAAGGAACTCTTTCAGAAGGTTAAGCCTACTGCAGTGGAATATGTCTCCTCAGGACACTGACCCATGAATTTGCTACCTGTTTGCTCTGCTTATAAAATTAAATAGATGTTGTAGAAGTACCATACAGTATGTCTCCCTTATTCTCTTACTGAAAATAAGTTATTTCTTTGGATTATTGTGGTACTCTTGGTCATCTCACTACCAAGGGAAATGGGGTGGTTAGTGCTATTCTATTGAGTGCTTCATTGGAATCACAAATGAGTAATAAATGATATATGAGAAAAAGTGATGTATAAGAATGGGCCCATTTTTGTGTTCTAATTTATGTACTCAAGCTAAACTGTTTTGTGTACCTGGGATGGGTGGTAATAAAGAATAATAAAATTCCTATATTTTGATCAAAACTCTAGGATACCTCTTGTAATCTTGATTCAGCAATTAAATGTTTGAAAACATTTAACAGTTCCCAAGGAACCATAACTGATGAATGTGTAAATCCGTCGTACTGCAGGACTACTGAATCAATGGACTGTAACGGTTACTGTGGAGCACTGCAGCCTTTTAATGAATATCCATGGACGGCCAGACAGCACATATAAAATCTTTTTGGATTGTTTGTTGTAACTAAGACTAAGCATTTCTAAAGGACAAATCTGGCCACAATGTGGTGGAAGGAGTGGTTATTGAGCACAACAACCTAAAACTGGGATATATGTAGCTATGTAGGCATCCTTCAGTCTCGAGAGACTATGGTATCGTGCCCTGTATGGAGGACTTGGAACAGCGTCTAGTGTGGCTGAGAAGGCCAATTCGAGAGTGACAATCTCTTCCACACTGAAGACAAATCCAATCTGTCCCCTGTCCAGCTCCCTGGTTTTGCTGCTTTTGTGACTTCCTCTTTGCCTGGGCCTGCTGGACAAGGGTCTCTTCAAATTGGGAGAGGCCGTGATGCAACGCCTGCCTCCAGGCTGAATGCTCAGATGTCAGAGTTTCTCATCTGTTGAGGTCTATTCCTAAGGCCTTCAGATCCCGCTTGCAGATGTCCTTGTATCGCAGCTGTGGGGCGATTTCCCTGCACTAATTCTCCATACAGGAGATCCTTTGGAATCCGACCATCAGCCATTCTCACGACGTGCCCAACCCAACGTAGACGTCGCTGTTTCAGTAATGTATGCATGCTGAAAATTCCAGCTCGTTTTAGCACTACTCTATTTGAACTTTGTCCTGCCAGGTGATACCAAAAATCCGTCGGAAGCAACGCATATGGAAGGTGTTCAGCTTCCTTTCCTGCCATGCACAAAGGGCTTATTAAGTCATATTCTCTTTGTGAGCCCAGAGAATATGGTGGCTGCTTTGCCAATGCGTTTATCCAGCTTGACATCTAGAGAGAGTGTGTCAGAGATCGTTGAACCAAGGTACACAAAGTCATGAACAACCTCCAATTCTTGTGTGGAGATGGTAATAGAGGGAGGTGAATCCACGCCCTGGCCCATGACTTGTGTTTTCTTCAGGCTGATTGTTAGTCCAAAGTCCTGGCAGGCCTTGCTGAAATGATTCATGAGTTGTTGGAGGTCTTCAGCAGAGTGGGCAACAATGGCTGCATCATCTGCGAAGAGGAAGTCCCACATGCATTTCAGTTGGACTTTGGTCTTTGCTCTCAATCTAGAGAGATTAAAGAGCTTTCTGTCTGATCTAGTCCGGAGATAGACACCTTCTGTTGCAGTTCCAAAGGCGTGCTTCAGCATGACGGCAAAAAAGATCCCAAAAAGTGTTGGTGCGAGGACACAGCCCTGTTTCACTCTGCTTCGGATATCAAAGGGATCTGATGTTGAGCCATCAAAAACTACAGTGCCTTTCATTCCATCATGGAAGGACCTGATGATGTTAAGGAGTCGAGGTGGACATCCAGTCTTGGGGAGTATTTTAAAAAGGCCATCCCTGCTAACAAAGTCAAATGCTTTTGTAAGGTCTATGAAGGCCACTAAGAGTGGCTGTTGTTGTTCCCTGCATTTCTCCTGCAACTGTCAGAGGGAGAATACCATGTCAGTGGTGGATCTATTAGCTCGAAATCCACACTGTGGTTCTGGATAGACTCTGTCTGCAAGTACCTGGAGCCTCTTCAGGACAACACGGGCCAAGGTGGCTTACAGCAACTAAAACAGATCTTAAAACACAGTATCACATTTAAAAAGAGTAAAACACATATTAAGATTAAAAAACAGTTTAAAAACAATTAAAAACATTTAAAAATCTGTAAGTTCAAAGCCAGCATTCCTGAGACAATTTGCTGCTTAAAAACCTACTTAAAGAGCAAGATCTTTGCCCGATGACAGAAGGACAAGAGGAAGGGGGCCAACCTGGCTCCTTGGGGCAGGACATTCCAAAGCCGGGGAGCAGCCACTGACATGGCCCTCTCTCATCTCCTCAGCAAATGAGCCTGGGAAGCAAGAGAAGGCTATTCCCCAGAAGGCTATTCCTGGATGGTCAGGACAGTGACTTGTTTCTATACCACCATCTAGGTTAACTTCCCAAAGGTTTTCTACAGAAGTCTAAAACAACCATCCACAATAAAAAAGATACAACCAGGAATAAATACTGAAGACGATTGGCAACTAATAATAGTGGTGTTGCGATTTGCAAAGATGACTGGGCTGTAGCTTTGTGACACAGTTTGACTTATACGCTGTCACTGTCGTTTCAATGAATTCCTTTGCCCAATAGTGAAGGTACAACTCCATGTCCAGGAAATTGTAACATAAAAAGTAATGACCTTGTTGGTTGTTGTAGGTTTTTCAGGCTGTTTGGCCATGTTCTGGAAGTTTTTCTTTCTAATGTTTCGCCAGTTTTTGTGTCCAGCATCTTTAGAGGACAGGAGTCACAACTCTGTGTTCTGTCATGACCTTGTTCTTTTTTCCCCTGTGCAACTGTAAACAACATTATAAAAACATGAGTCTTGTGCCACCTTAAAAAACAGAGATGACAGACCTTTGATACAGTGCGGGCTGCATTCTTTGAAAGCAGATGCCTACCAAAACTTTAAAACATTTAAGGTGTCACAAGACTTTGTTGTTTCTTCAGCAACAGACTAAAACAGTTACCCACCTACCCTGGTAAAATTTGTGTAATTTGCTAGTTTCCTTTACATCCAAAGTGCTGTGCTGCATGCTGTTGCCTCGTGGTATGGCTTGTGGGTGTCGTGGACGTTGAAGTGAATGGTGCCAATAGGATGAGAGAGAGAGAGAGAGAGAGAGAGAGAGAGAGGTGCTTTGTGCTACAGGCCAATGCCTTGCAGTACACAGATATCTAAAGTAACCAGGATAGTTACTTCTCAGAAATAACTGCCCTTGTTACTTCTGAGAAAATAATGTAACTTTAAAAATGGTAGCTAGTAACTATTGTTTGGGGTGCCCCTTGAGCTATGCATATATCTAATTTTCAGAGTAATTGTCCAATTTCTTCTATTTTCTCATATCCACCTGCCCTAACTGTTAAAGGGAGTTGTGCATTTGGAAAAAAATACCCCTTCTAGATGAAGATCAGTTTAACTGCCAGCGTAAATGGCTTCTGCATCTAGCCATCAGAGTTCCACAAGCAATCTTCTTACACCATGAACACATTGCTTCTCCTACAATCAATTTCTATCTTACCCGCTTCTTTTGTTCCTCTCCCCGTTTTCAAAACAAGGGCATTTTCTGGCTGCTGATTTAGAGCTGTTCCCCATTTATACTTAAAAGTACAGTCTAGTGACAAAACGGTGTGCTAGGCAGGAAGAATGGAAGAGAGAAGACGCAATTCAATCTACTCAGTGCATCAGCCCAACAAAAGATAGCATAATGCTTCCAAAGTAGACATGTTCTTTCCCACTCTGCAGTTCCTCTGAAAGGAGAAGGAGGCCTTGCCCACTTCAGATCAACATCAGCATGAGAGCTGGGGAGACCAGCAACAAATTTCTGCATTTGGACAACCTCCTAGCAGCAGTTTCTACCCCACCTGATCTGCCCTGTCTTAATAATATATATCAACAGCCTTTTAGATGGGGGAAGGGATTCCAGGGCTGAGTGCCTTGTGGTCACCATCTTAGATCTTCCCACATTGCTTTGGAGGTTAAATAACTTGTGAGGGTACTGTATGCAATCATTCACCATAATGGTCTCGGATTAATTTTCCGGAAACCACACATAAACTCACATGTAGGGCTATGCATCTGTCAGTATGTGTAAATATCCATTTGATCGGTTCTCAACCTTGGGTAACCCAGGTGTTCTTGGATGTAAGTTCCCAGAATCCTTCATCACAAACTGTGCTGGCCAGGATTTCTGGGAGCTGCAGTCCATGCACACCTGGGTTACTTAAGTTTGGGAACTACTAATCTGTCATGAGTTCAGCCGAAGAAGATCTGGAATCTGAGGGGTTAATTACAGCTGAGGAAAATGCTGGGCAATTAGAAGAACAGACAGATGAATCACCACCAGATTCTCCTCCCCCAGTAGCCAGAGTGAGAGCTAAACTTCGGCAAAGACTCCTGACATGAAGGTCAGAGGATCGCATGAATACTTCCCATAGGAACATCAGGTCGGCCAGCCCTGAGTTTTAGCAGGATGAAGTGTTTAGATGACTGCTGCTGCTATAAAATCTGCACCCAGAGGCTTGGAAGTTTGTGGAAGCAACAAGTTAACACTCTGGCTTTCATGCTCCTGCTTATCCTGACCCTTGTTCTCTGGACTCTTGGCTTTGGACTCTGACTGCTGACTACGGTTTGTGTTTTGGCTTTGGCTTTTGGTATCTGCTTTGCATCTTCTGGACTTCTGATACTGGACCGGTTTATTGGACTGTTGCCTGTTGAAACCCCTGGGAATGTGATAGATTGCTTCCACCACACACGCTCTCCACAAGATGGAGGGAGAAGCAAGCAAAGGTTCTGGTCAGCTGAATGCTGTGCTTCCTCAAGTGCAGTTTCTTACAGAAATGGTGGCACAGCTTCAGCAGCAACAACTGTAATCCCAGGCTAACGCTCCTGCCCAGGTCAAGTGCCTTGTGCTTCTTCCAGAAAAGTTTGGAGGAAAGGTGGAGGAGTTTCCAGCATTCCTGGCACAGTGTAAACTGTATATTGAGCTGCGTGCCAGAAACTTTCCCATGGGCAAAACCAAGGTATGCTTCATAATCAGCCTACTCAAGGGACAGGCAGCTAAATGGACTGCTCCTCTACTCCTTGCTCCTTCACCCCTGTTAACCAATTACCAGGGCTTTTTGGACCGTGTTTCAGCAGCTTTTGCTAATCCCTTGCTAGCTGCTACTGCCAAGAGGAAGATTCGGGCCCTGAAAAAGGGTAAGGGTTCAGTTTCCCAGTATTCCACTGAGTTCAAACTCTTGGCTCAAGACTTGCTCTGGAACGAAGCAGCTCTCATGGACCAATATGTGGAGGGGTTGGCTGATGATATCCTGGATGAGCTGGTGCATGTAAACTGACCCAATACGCTGCAAGAACTAATCATGCTGTGCCTTCGCATTGATGGCTGCCTAGAGACGGGATGGTTCCTGACCCTCGCAACCACCCCCGATGCCCATTAACACTGGACATTAACCTGCTTATCCTGACCCCTGTTCTCTGGACTCTTGGCTTTGGACTCTGACTGCTGACTACGGTTTGTGTTTTGGCTTTGGAATTTTGGTATCTGCTTTGCATCTTCTGGACTTCTGATATTGGACTGGTTTATTGGACTGTTGCCTGTTGAAACCCCCTGGGAATGTGACATTATCTATAGTCGTTTTATGCATATAGAATGGACCCCAGAGTAAAGGCGAGTCTTCTCAGGGCAACTTTGGGCCTTGAGAGGTGCTCTGTTATACCTCACCATGACGCCCACCCTGTTTTCAATAATAGTTTATGGTTTAAGTGAGGCCTAGTGCCAGAGGTGGGCATCATTGGGCCCATGGCAAAGCTGAGTCCCTGCCAAGGATCCACAATTGACCCCAAGCTCTCCCTGACTCAGCATCTCTTTTCCCTTTTATCATCACCTGTTCACTTACCCTTTCCCAGCATACATTAAGTGATTAGCGCAAAGAGGGGAGAGCACCTTCCTTCACTTACCTTCTATTTTCTCTTTGGGCAACTGTACTGGCTGAGTCCAGAAGGAAAAGGGCAAGAGTACAGGCGGGGAGGAGACAGAGCAAGGGTTGGAGGTAGATGGCAGGCATTGCTGGATGGTGAGAATTTTGAATCAAGGAAGTATCCAGAGAAAGGGGCTGGATGTGGGGAAAGAGTCACTAGGATTTACCCATTAAAGCAATTAGTCCTGAGACCAGGATTGAGGGTGGGTGAAAGTCTTAAGTGTAAGAACACACCTGTGAGTTTTTGTGTAAAAGGAAAGAAAAACATACATATGACAGAAACAGAGAGAGAGTTCTATATAATACTGTAAAAACCTACAAACTGTGCCTTACATTTGTTCTTTCTCCATCCCCTCATGAATAATATCCATTGAACAGAATGCTCTGATAGTGTGGGGTTTTGCTACCCTCCTCAAAGGAAAATATTCACAAAGTATTCACACTGAGCCCACGACATTAAGTTTCTCTCCTCCCTTCATTATTTTACATTAGTCTGATACGGAACAAACTGCAAAATTACATTGAAATAAACAAGCATACGCTTTAATTAGTAAGCCCTTCTCCTTATCCTGTTACTGTTTAATTTTGCTGGAAAACTGAACATTTCACCTCATTTGTACCAAACTTGATGATATCCCATTTGAAGCTTTCAGGTTTCAGGAACTAAGAGCACACATGACTTCCCCAGAGCTTTTATTAGTTAAAATCAACTGTGCAAATTTAGACTGGGAAAGTATTTTTAAGCCATTTATGCCACATTTCCTGGCATGCATTCTGTTGCACTAATGGGGTCCACTGTGGCTGCAACAAATAGAGCAGGAATGCCTTCTATGAATTATGGGGCTAAGAATTGTTCTCATTATTTTTGCTGGTCATTAAAAGCAATTAAAGTATGGCACACATTTGATTATTCGTGTATAAACAGCCTCTGTTTCAGATTCTCCTCAGAGGTGTAACTTACCTGAACTGCTAAAAAGGGAACACCTGTTTATACATCAATGCCACTGCAGTTTCTCAATGAACAGCGTTCCCGGAGCTGCTATATACATTATGCCAAAAAAATTTAGCCACATGTTTACTTTAGCTCTGAATAAATACTTCTGGTCTCTAACAAAAATTAGTTTAAAAAAACCCTCAAGTTAATTAGACTGTAAGTAAGAAAATATGTTCACAGGAAAAATAGGTAGGCTTTAATGGAAAGCAAAGAGTTATATTTGTTAACATTAAAGGGGATATTAAAGAATCTAAGGGGAAAGAACTGTCTCCAAATTAATATTTTTTCCAGTCTGATGATGCTAGAAGGAATTATTTTGGCCATAATTGTAACTAGAATGGCCGTATTGGTATTTTCAACTAATCAGGCTTGGTAGTTATATTTTCCATTGCATCATCCTCATTATGAATTAGTTTCTGCCTCAGGCTTTCAAGCTACAAAATATAGATTGCTTGCTTAATCCCATTTTCTCTCATGGAAGTTCTTAGGGCTCTTTCAAGGCTACTCCAGAACAGAACACCTTAGTCCTGAAACCCAGTTCTTTGCATTGTTTTGGTCTATGTGGCAAACTCTGTTAGAATCAGCCCACTTTACACGTGTGACCAACAGACAGCCTTAAAAGGAGCATTGCTGATCCAACAATGTCTGCAGGATCCCCACCCCCACCCCCAGGAGTAAGGGACAGAACTACAAAGTGCCCATGGTATAGTAGCATAATGTTTTTGCACCACTGAAACATAGTGTATCTGTTAATATGGATTAAAATAATAAAATTAACATACCTAGGAATTGGGGTGGGGAAGCACTCTCTTATCCCTGCTCCCTACATCTGATCTGTTGATCGTACAAATAAATAAATTAATTATCCCTGCTCCCAGATAGCCATGTACATTTCTATAGCGGTGTTGCCCAAAATTCTTCATCTGTGGGGCATGGCCAGTTCATGATCCGAGTAATGGATGTGCTTCATTTCCAAACACTGAAGGCAGGTATACCCTCTTCCATCTTGGACCATAGGGTGGTTATAACCTGGGCACATCTGCGCCCCCTCCCCACCGATTAAAACAAGAGGCACATGTGATCTGAAAAGGAACATAGCTAAATGTCTCTGGAGAGATACAGATATTGGGTAGGTTTCTCTAGTGCCAGCACTACCACAGTAACGTTGCCTCCTGGTGTTGCAGCCTTTCTTTCTTACTACTCAGTTCAGGAACAGGCCCATAGTTTCTGGGTCATGGGAGTACTTCTAGGAATTATTCCCTTATCCCTGACAAATCAGTTTGGGATGCCTCCTACAGATTGTTTATTTCAAGCTTCATATACAATAAGTTTTATATTAACACTACCTCTCTGTTTTCTCTCACATCCTTCATAACTTCATCCTCAGTTTCAATTAACAGGGTCAAATGACACAAAATGTTTAGCACATTTCTAGAACAGATAATCTCATGATCAAGGAAAGATGTCCGTTTGTCACACTGTGTTATTTTCCTTACTTTTGTATCTTGGATTGTAAACACATGCTTAATTTGCATGTCCAATTACAGAAACATGTGTTTCTGAGGCAATCTTGTGTGAGAAAAAGCAGGGAACATCTCACCCCCACTACAGTGGAAATGTGTATGGATGCGCACACCTTATCTTCCCAATTTGCCACCAACACTTTCCCTCCAGGCACAAGCATTTCCTATTTGTTTGATACTATTTATTCAGCAAGATAACACTGGAAAGAAGACACGTGGAAGCAAATGCCGTTAAAAGCTTAAGGGAACTTGATGAACATTGCTGGGTTTCCGAAAGAGAACAGTGAAAATGCATCACAGAAGGGCATTGCACATTTTTGATACCATCACAGAAAAGGCCCTTTCTGTGAAGCTACTTGCCAGACAGTCAGAAAAGAGCCCCTGAAGAAGACTAACAATGGCCTATGTAATGCAGGATGAAGCAGACTTTCAGATAGCCAGGACCCAGCATTAAAGATACAGTATAGCATAAACATTTGTGTAATTTGCACATGGTTGGCTTAAGATGCAAGCTGAAGTTGACTTTTAGGTATTTATGCTACAACAGAGGGGCTCTCTTGTGTTTGCTGTAATATGCTAGAATTTTTAATCCTCTGGTTCTGATGCCCAGTAATACAATGCTGAGCTGTCTTTGTTCTCAAGATGGTAGAGAGTGGCCACAGACCATCATTTGACAATATCTGAGGTATAGTTTTCCCCCCTCAAATCTTTGAGCTAGCATAATTAGCATTAATAAATGTTTCCTGCCAAATAGTGATGGATATTATCTGAAAGGTGGCTAATCCGATTTTGTTCCTGCCTGACTCAAATTAAAATGAAATAGATTTTAAATAAACATTCCACAAACAACCAAATACGTAAGCAATAAGTTATAATAGTCTTTATTCATGTTAGAATTTCTATCAGTGTTTGAACATTAATGTTTAGAGAGTTTGTACAGATTTCCACTCATTATTTTATCATTGAGAACCACACTAGATCATAAAATGGTAAACCTAAAACAGTTCAGAATTACATGTAATATCCACACTCTCTTTAACACTGTTAACCTTTTCTTTGTTCACAAATGGGATTTATAATGAAAAGTGTGCACTGTATTTATGTCTCAGCAATGTTCCGAAACATAATGACATAATCATTACATATAAACTCTTTAAAAATATAATTCTGTCAAAAGAATTGAGGACTACTATGTACACTACAAAAATAAATTTTCATATAAATAAATTATATGGCATACCTTTATCTTTGTAACTGAAACACAAACCCATTCCTGCTAAAAACAGGCAGACAATGAAACCCAGTCCGAATAATTTTTTCCTTTTAACTCCTTGCTCTAAAAAGCTACAAAATGAGTCCTTAACATAAATGTTATATACTCTCTTCCTATTTAACATTAGTAAGCATTCTATACAAATAAAAATTCCATTAAAAAGTAAAAACATAGCTGTAGTGTTTCCGATAGAAATAAAATCCCTGCATTGTGTTTGTTATAAACTGGCATGACAAATACTGTAAGAAAACATTCTTATGATACAAAAATATAAATATCAACAATTAACGTTTTTTAAACAAAAACAAAAACAAAGAAAATCAGCCAGCCACTGAGATCTCCTTTTGCCAATGTGACAAAAAGAGGAAATAGTCTACACTATGCACCCAGGAGCAGGCACCCTACAAAATGGGAAGAAATTGTCTCTCTCTTACACACATACACACACACACACAAAGGTGAAGGGGGCTATTGAACATAACACACATACACACACACACACTAAGGAAGACTAAGATGAACCGGCTACTGAACATCAAAGCTCTTTCTACTTTCTTGTTTTAAAAACAGTAACAAGGGAATGAATGATTGATAAGACCCTAAAGAACTATTAGTGAGAGACCACACTGACCTCTCTCTCATACTCCAACACTTGGCAGTGGAAGGTAGCTTGCAATTCGTATCACACAGTTCTGTTTCAGAACTTTCTTTTCTTTAAAACATCTCCCATCTCTAAACTGCTGGCCAAGGTTTAAATCCTTTTTGCCCAGGGCTTGCATGTAACACAGTACAAGTAACTACATTTTCTATAGCATGTTACTATTAGGCACAGTGAGGGCATAATAATGTTTCTTTTGAAAGTAACATAATGATTGGTTCTCCATTATTATTATTTTCTGCACACAGAGATGTTCCTTTTTTTATTCATTACTTTGGGGGAAAATGCATTGGTGAACACTTTAAGGGAAATTCCACTCCCCCAAAAATTTTTGGGCCATTTTCTTACTCTTTTAGTTGGATCCTCCCTCCAAAAGGAACAAAAAAGAGCAGCAAACAATGTAACAAAGTTAACAAATTACTTTTAAAAGACAGCAATGAGTAACACAAAGAAGTTGCATTTTAAAATTACCATTTCTTTGAGGTATGGCAATTTGAAAGAAAACCGTCAAGATTTGCCTTTGTCAAAAACCATGTCAGAAAGAAAATTGGACCAGTAAATAGAATTCTACCAACCTACTAAACAGTAGCCCATGTGTCACTGGAGTAATGGCACGTGTTTTTGCTTTCTTTTGAATGTCCCTATTAGATCTATATAGAGACAACTGTCTTGCACCCAAGGTTTTTCAAAGTTAGGTGGGAAAAAGTGTACTGAATCAGATATTATGACAGATACCTTAACCAGGGACAAATTAAGATCTGTGAACAAAAGTGGGTCTTGGTATAAGTAAGCATTGAAATACATGAACTGGAAACACTAACTGTTGATAAGGTCACATCAGGTGAGCCCAATATGGGCCTCCAGTTCATAACTGGCTCAGCCAAACTGATTTCCTACTTTAACCATGTTTAATGATCATATTGGACTGATGAAGAAACGCTATGGAGACCTTTTTTAAAACTGACAGAGAGACAGACTGGGGCAGTTTGGCAAGTTCCATATACAGGAACCCTGCTCAACTGCTCCAGAAGTAATTTCTGAATCGGCTGTCTAGACCTAATAAGCCAGTAGATCCATATGCACAATTCACAAGATCGACTTGTCTAACTGAAGTTAACAGGACTTACAAAAGAGCATCAGAGTTTCATTTTACTGAAATTATCTAGTAGACTGCACATCTGCAAGGAACAACTTTGAAATATCACCAAATCATTCCACTCAGCTATATGTGCAGTCACAATAAACTGAAGTGCATAGAAAAAAAATCAGTGAGTCACTGTTGTGGTACCTATACCTGCTTTTGGGCAAAGCTATTACTAGAGATTTCGAAACCAAGGGCGTTGCTGCCTATCGGTTGGGCTTTGGTCACCTAAGGCTGATACATGCAGGTAGAGGATGGAGAATGGAGAGGAACACCTAGGTCTGAGCACTCAATGGCCATATTGGTTCTGCAGTGAGCCTACCAGTTTTGTGCTTCCTTTTGCCCAGAGAGGAGTGACTGGAATTGGGTGGATTTGCACCCTTCCCTAGCAAACTTTTGCACCCTCTAAATTTTGGCATCCATCCTGCTGCACTTGCCCACCCCTAAGCTCTTCTTCAGGAAAGGAAATATTTCACAAGTCTTTCTGGAGGTGACATCTATCCTCTTTTTATGAGGGCAGCTCATGCACCTTCCCTAGAGAAAAGCAAGAGCTTGCCTTTTACACAAGACTGCTAGCAACAGCTGTTAAACTCCAATAATACTCTCACAAATTCCTTAAAAGACCTGCGGCTCACCTGCATACAGCTGCATGTGAGGAAGTCTCACTAATTCCAGAGACAATTAATTCGTAAGTAAGTGTGCAGTGCTGTAGCCCTAGGGATGTTAAGGCCAACAAAGATTACCCCAAGAGGCACAACCTTCTGAGATAGTCTCTTCATGCAATTATGTATTAGAGAGGTCCATAAGCCATGGACTTGTGCAGCAACATTCGTTTCAGAGGGGCATGTCCTAGACGTTCATGACAGTCTGTGTTCTACAAAGTCTAACACCCACAAATACACACATCACAGGAAAAGAATCCACACACAACTACGCCTGCTTTGCTCACCAAGGTTAACACACTACTCTTCATAAATGCTAATTAAAAATCTGAAAAAAAATCACGCATAGCGTGTTTGAAAATTAACAGGAATATTTCATATTACCACAGGGTTGTGATACGGAAATTTTTAAAAAATACTTTAACATAATACACACACACACACACACATAAGAACTTTTACAAAAAATCCTAATACATTAGCAATATTTGCATAGAATTATACACGTAAATTATACAATATTTAAGCAGCAACAACATATGCTGAAATTTATGACTACATTAAGCTTAGTTGTGGCACAGAGATCAATGTACAGTAAGTACAGAGCACAAACAATAGTCCCCACTCTGTTAAACAGGAGTTAAACCAACTCCAGATTAAACTACTTTACACGGTTTCTCTTGTATATTACACATGTGTACATCTTTTAAATATTTATAGAAATATTTCACAAAATAATACAATAGGTTACAGTAACAGGGAACTATTGTCCTGATGCAGCATTGTCCTTTTCCGTAACTTCAAGCAGTTTCTCTTCAAGCAGTTCTGGAAAGAGGTTTCCCATCTTTGGCCTCTTCTTTGCCTCAGTTATTTCCCTGTACAAAAAGAGACCAATAGTAATAATAATAATAATAAAAAGAGCCCCACTGTTCATCTACAGTTCAGCAAAGATAAATAAATCACCTCAGCCCCAAGTCATCTGACAGGTTCTGCAATTAAAAGCCATAAGGCTCTATGTTACTTTTCTAGCAAAGCCAGTGGCTTCCTGCAGCCAAATGGTTTTAACAGGATTTTTTTTTTTAAAAATGCCCTGTTCATTTTTAGCATTTTAAAAATCCAGTTACCAAACCTGATGCACCTTGCCCAAAATTCCAGTCACAACTTATAAGATGTAAGTCATATTCTTCTCGAGTTACCAACCACAGAGATCAATGTACAGTATGTACAGAGCACAGACAATATAGTTTCCACTCCATTAAAGAGGAGTTAAACCAACTCCAGATTAAGCTACTTTAGACAGTAATCTTAGAGCATCTATTGAATCTGATGCATGAATTTTCCTCCTTTTGCTCAGAAAGAGAATAATAGGGAATTCAGTCCATGTACCTATTATAAAGTAGGCTATACCTTCTTAAACTATGCCTCTATGGCTTTTTCACATACATCTCAATGGAAAGCAACTCCGCAATTTAACATAGTTTTCCAGTATTATTATTGATCAAATATTGAAAATATTCTTTCTAGTTCTACCAGCCTATTAAGTAAGTCTTATATCATGTACTGTATATATTATAGTTCAATGTAAGCTCTTGTTCTCTCTCTTCCTCCCCAGCAGAGTCTCAAGAAGTTTGGAAGTATTTGCTCCTGTTTCCAACTAACTACAGTACAGTTTCTTATTCTGTCTGAACCCAGGCAAACTGAGACTTGTGCTAACTATGCACTATTCACTGAAACAAGAAAATCTGAACAATAGTTAACAACCTCAACTTTGCTCAACAATTGATATTCATCAGAATTCCAGTGTGGAGACAAGAAACTGCACTTAGTCAAAAAGGGCAGATTATTTCAATCTCCACGGGGCCATATGGGGAAGAGGAGCAGGGAGGGCCACTGCATGAGTCCAAAACTTTTGCAGGTAATGCATACCTAAGCTTCCATCTGAGTCTAGTCTTCAACTCTCCATGCCTGCTATTATCTAGGTGCAGGGCATTCATTGGTAGTCTGAGGCATTCACTGTGCAAAATGAACAACTACACCAGACCAATGAGACCCTGCAAGCTGGAAAAGATGCACGGGACAGCAAGGTTATCACCAATAAGGAGACAAAACTCAGCAAATTGCCACATGGGGCCCCCTGCCCCATGAGGGCGGGGAAGAAGCGATACTACTATACACCAGGGGCTCCATCCCCACGGCAGCTCCACTATGAGTATTCCTAGGGCCCCGGCCGCCCAAATTACTCCAGAGTTCCAGCTACTAATCTCTGGAAGTTAGCGCAGTTTCTGAATATAACAGATATTTAGAAAATCCACATCATTTTAAATTCCTGTATAATTCCTGCAGCTGAAATAGGCCGTGCTTCCCACCAGAAAGGCTTACCATAATCTGAGCTGTCGCCATGAGTCCTTTCTTCACATTCAACATCTTGCAGTTCTATTACTTCTACTTTAGAGTTCCTCTTCTCGCACCGGACATTAAAAGGCACATGAGGGTCCTCAAACTGTCCCCGGTCAGTTTCATGGTATCCTTCATAGGATGGAAAGCCTCCTCCACGTGTACTATGGCTGTGCATGGCAGGATGTACAGCAACAGTCACTGATGCTGAGGCAGTCACAGTAGTGATAGGCTGGCCGTATGGTGGCACTGAGGCACCTGTGGCAGTGAAGGCTGCATTTCTGGTGTTCTGAGAGTGAGTTCTCTGGCCAGAGCAGTCCCTATTACTAGGGCAGGAATGCCCATCAGTTGAAGTTTCGAAGGCATCTCTGCGTGGCCGGTAAGGGGGTGGCCGGAGTCCTTCCCTTGGTTCTCTTTTGGATTTCTTGTTTTGATGCCATGTGTTCTGTGAAGCAGGGTCCTGATTTGTCTGTGTTCTTGGACTTGGCTGATGATACCTTGCTTCTGGCTGGACCAACTGGAAATGAACAGGCAGCAATATATCCCAATGAGAAAAGGGAAATGAAATAGGGCATCTACTTCAGGAGATGCTTCCACAGTATATCAACAAAGCGCACAAAGAGAATGTTCTGACTGCATTATATGAGACATTCATTTGTAATTTCATCACATAACACTTTCTGACAGTGATAAGAAAGAAGAAGATGTCATCAAAGTGGAACCCAAGTACGGTATGTTTGCACCAGTGTGTCCCACAACCTTCTCATTGTGTGATGATATATACAGAAGTGCATCCTAAACATGAGTGTTTTTCCAAGAGTGTTTTTTGAAAGCAGCATTCTGTCAAGTAACCTCCTAGTCAAATACTGCTGAGGTTCGGCAGAAACTATCACTCAGAGAGGATATTCTATACACAGGAAATTCATAACATAGTTACTATAGGTTATAAGAATCTTAATTTTTGATGTTTGCAAAAAGTGTGACAACATAACAGTCACAAAAATCAAACAACCACAGGCAACTTGGTCTCTTGTTGTGCTATTTTAAGAGTTTAATTTATTTGCATTTCATCTGAGATGCAGCACTGGAGGGCAATGGATGGAAAAAGGAGAACAGGATCCTTTGATTGCCCTAAGGTTTTACTTCCATAGTACAAAGATGGTAAAATTTACTTTTTTGGACTTCAGCTCTCATAATGACCCAGCCAGCAATGACCAGTAGTCCAAAATATAACTTATCCCATCTTTGGTCTTGTGGCAAGCACCAGAATGCTTTATTTATTTCAGATTAGGATATAGTTTGGAAAAAACTTTAATCAAAGTCAGGGCTTATATCATCAAACTTGCTTTCTTTTTAAAGACAGCTTATTTTCCATTATTTATTTCAGCAAGGCTACTTAGAGGTGATGAGGGAAAAACTGCCAAATTATTATCTTGCCCTTCTGGAAAAAAGCAGTGTCACCAGTACTATGGCAACCAGCTCCCCTATGAGCTAGCGAATTGTGATTAGTAGCTCACACGTGGCCCCAAAGGGCATTTTAGCAGCCCGTAGGGCCAAAACAGAGTCCATCAAAATAGTTTTCAACTTTAAAAAGGGCTCCAGAAGTAATGGTTTTCTGCTTCTTGGCATTGGTTGCATCCCTCAAGACTTATTCAAACAAGTAGAAGAGCTTATATGTGTACTTCTTGTTCAGTTTTTTTAAATGGATGTTTTTAACTATTTTCAGGCCTAGAATAGCCTACAGTGAGGCTGGGGTCTTGAACTTGGCATCCTCAGACTTTGCCCATCACTTCTCTGACCACAAACACTGCATGTCAGAAACCCAGATTTTGTGATGTGAAGAAATTATACAAGTGAAATATGTCTACATTGACTTAAGACTGAATTGGTTCCAAAACTTCCCTTCCTTTCTTGAAGCACATTTAAGATTGGTACAAAGTACAGCCAGGAAAAAGCCCAACCCAAACAAACAAACAAACAAACAAACAAACAAACAAATAATTCAGGCTAAAGAATACACAATATTTTTTCTTGTTGTGCAGTCATGTACATACATAGTTCTGTAAGGAAGCTGAAGTGTGGATAAGCTGCAGCCATTTCTGTGCAACAAGACAGCTGTTATAGTAAGAAAGGTCATAGATATCCATGTGCTAGTAGGTGATTCACTCTAAAATGTTTCTCAAGTTCATTCCACAAGAAGAAATAAGCACTGTATTTTGTGTGAACCAGTTCTGAATTATAGTCATCTACTGGACCAGACAATTCCTTAAAACATGCAACAACCCAAGATATATTGCTCCATATATATGCTGTAGTTACTATAAAACAATTTAAGCAGCTGACTCTTAAGGCTATGCAACCTGAATGGGAAACCAGGTGTTGATGGACTACAACCTGCAATTATCCTGGACCATTAACCACCTTGGCTGGTGCTGACAGGAATTCTGGAAAGCCCCTCATTCCCCACCTTTGTGAAAGGAGATAACTAGAAACAGAAGCAGGTATGAAATGGATTACTTACAGTGGATCTGGCAAATACTGGATTTTCAGTTGCTTCTACAATCACTTGGCGAACAGGGGCATCGGTTCTTTGTGTGGCTTCATACTGATGGAGCTCATCACTGAATCCTGAGACTGTAGTCTGAGAACTGTACTCAGAATCAGAAGAATCTGACCCATTAGGACCATGACTGGGTGGTACTGCAAACCTGACAATGCCTGGGGGAAGCTCAGGAGAAGGGGTTGGCAACCTACTCCTTCCATCGACTGTAGAAACCTGTGAACAACAATTTAATAACTCTTAAGGAATGTCCATAAAAAAACCTCAAGACTATTTTTCAGGCTTTAGAGAAATACACACTACTCTACTAAAGAACTACAGGGAAACTATATAAGCAAGCAAGCAAGCAGAACAGAGGCACTCTGAAGAGCAGCATATTTATTTCAGTGTGAGCTTTTGTGGATTACAATCCACTTCCCTCTAAAACATAAGCGTGAAATTTTTGTTTTTTAAGTTGTTTAGTTTTTACTATGCATGCTGGAGCAGACCAACACAACTACCTCCTTGAAAAGTATACACATAAAAGTGCAGCAGCATGAGGCATGTCTGCATGTAATATCTGTCATTAGCCTATTCTGATAGCCTCTTCCTGACAACTTCCTGTTAAACTGTTGCTACTTGTAATACGTGAATCTGCCATTTTGGTTAAATATTGACCAAAATGTTCACTTGCCTTTGAGGGGTATTCAGAAATTTCATCTGCTCTGAAATATAACTGCCAGACTTTTGAATGAATTCCAGTGTCGCTCCATCTATATTACGAGGGAGTGCTGATAAGTACTGAGCCTTTCCCAGAAAAAAATGAGCAAGGAAGCTATAAATTGCAGTGTGTATTGGCCAATTTGTCTGTATATTCAATGGTGCAAAAATCAACTACCTATGATTTTAAGTTATCTTTCATGTTCAGATCCAAAGTGAACATGGCAGCACCTCCAGAAAAGTTCAATGTGGAAGAGCATAGGACCATAATCAAGTTCCTGTTTCTCCAAGGGAAAGGTGCAAAGCAGATCCATGATGAAATGTCACAAACTATGGGTGACAGTGGCCCTTCATATGAAACAGTTAAACGTTGGGTTGTCAGTTTTAAAACTGGCCATTTCAGTGCTGAAAGTGAGAAACCCAGTGGAAGGCCTGTTTCTGTTTCTGTGCCTACAAAGTCATCCATGACATGATCATGGAGGACCGCCGAATATCAGCCAAAACTATTGCTATATATCTGAGAATATCATGTAAGAGAGTTTGTGCCATTATCCACAACGACTTGGAAATGAGAACGCTGGCAGCAAAGTGGATCCCGAAACTTTGGACAACCGAACAAAAGAGGAAACGTGTGGAGTCATCAGTGGCTGTTTTGGAACATTTTGCAAGAAATGAGTCAGATTTCCTGGGCAAACTGGTAATTGGTGATGAGACATGGATCTACTGTTATGATCCTGAGACAAAGGAACAGTCTAAGGAATGGAGGCACAGTGGTTCCCCCAGGCCAAAGAAGTTCCGAGTGTAAAGGTCGGTGCAGAAGCAAATGGCAACAGTTTTTTGGGATAAGAAGGGAGATCTGCTGGTGGGTTACCTCCAACAGGGTTCATCCATCAATGCAAAATATTACTGTGCTTTATTGACGAAGTTGAGGCAAAACATCAACGAAAAACGTTGAGGAAAGCTCTCCAAAGGTGTCATCCTGTTGCATGACAATGCCTCATCACACACTGCAGGTGAAACAATGGCAAAACTGACGTCCTTAGGCTTTCAAGTGATGCCCCATCCACCCTATTCTCCCGACCTGGCTCCTTCTGGCTATTATCTGTTCCCCAAACTCAAAAAACACCAAAAGGGACAACGATTTGGGAGTGTTCTGGAGGCAACTAATGCTGCAAATGAGTGGTTACACCAGCAGTCGGAAGAATTTTATTTGCAAGGACTTAAGAAGCTGCAGGGCAGATGTCGCAAGTGCATTGACTTCCTGGGGGAATATGTAGAATAGTGTGGCAGTTACAGCTTCCTAGTTCAATTTTTTCTGGGAAAGGCTCAATACTTATCAGCACCCCCTTGTACCAATTCGTTTCTCAGTCCCGTTCAAATGGCTGATTCTGATTCTTTAAGCCGCTACATCTCCTCCTTCTGCACATAAGCTCTTCTCAGCATATCTTGGAGCAAGGGAGAAGCAACAGAAGAAGTACTGGCTGCTCCCAGGAGACTATTTTTTGCCAGACATTTGACTAGGAGAAAAGACTCTCCACATGCAGTTCCTGCTGAGAAGAAAATGTCCTGCAGGGGCATTCTTTTCCAATGAGAATTGCACACACAGCACTCTTTTCCCACTGGCTATGCCAGGATTCTCCTGGATGCTTTGATCTGCAGTCATCCAGAACTGCCTTTGCTGTTACTACACCTGCTTCTTTCAGCCCCAGCACTATGTGTCTAGGATCTCTTACAACAAGGTAAGCAACCCAGCTTTCACTGCATCCCTGCAAACTCAGAATGTGTTGACTCCTATCACCAACTCGCCCTGGCCATGGTGGCTGATGGGAATTCCAGTCTAATATAAGCAGGCTGGGGACAGTCCCAGCAGGCGGTTGTAGTGAAGGTACTACACAGCATGGAAATTGAACACAACTCTGCTCTCAGGAGACTGCTATCACATTCACCAACATTCAAGTAAGGGTGTTTATCTCTGTGAGTCCACTGATTGTACATTTGCAACATTTTTCCATTTACACCAGGGTTCCTCATTTCCTTTATGAGAGAGAATATATGGGGAACTCAGGCTGATAAGCAGAACATTCCTCTGCTCTGGAGGCAAAAAGCCTCCCCCACAACAATGACTTTTTTTTTTTACTATAACTTCCAGAATCCCCCAGACATAGCCATCTGTAGTGCAGAAAAGTAAGTTTCCCAAGCTCTGCATCCAATAATAGATATAACTTGAAGTGTGGGGACTTGTTTTCCATGTTTGAAACTTATAGTCTAAAGTCTACAGTTTTTTGGTGGTCTGTTGTAATAACAATAAGCATATAACTGGATTAGGGTATTAAGGGAAAAGGAAGCTTGTTCTATCAAATGCTGTATTTGTTGCTGGGATATTACCTATAGAAACTACATCAGTCTGCTTTCCATCATCAAACAGCTGAAGTAGTTACCTTTGTACAACCAAATCAGTTTTCAGATTCTTTATTTTCACTGAAAATTTCTGACTTTTGTGCCAAAATGCAGAATTTTGCAATTGTTATTCAGTCATTAACGTCTGACTCTTCATGACTTCTATGGACCAGAGCATGCCAGGACCTCCTATCTTCCACTGCCTCCTGGAGTTGGGTCAAATTCATGTTGGTAGCAATTTTGCAATACAACTTTTTAAAAAAAGAGACTGGCATGTATATAAAATGTATAAAATCAAAATGCCTGCTGAACAATATAATAACAGCTGCAATTTCCAAGGAACACAGTACTGACCTCAGGATATGGTCCAAACAGAGAGAGAAGAACAGGAAGTAGCACCAATCCATTCAGAGCACCCAAGATAGTTAAAATTGCCAAAACAGCAAAGAAGTACCTGAAACATTTTCATATAACAAATATTCAGAAAGTGCACTGAATATTAAAGTCAGTAACAAAATGTAACATGTTTCACTCAATTCACAAAACAATTACTGCATATCAATATTGCATTTCAAACAGCTTTTGTTTAAGATACAAAGTCAGCATGCGTTTTTTTCCTTTTACCTTTTGGATTAGAGAGGCTACATTCCACAACCCAAAGTGTTAGTTCAAAAAAGAAAGGGGAAAAAAAGCTTGTTAATTTACTAAAATCTTTCAGCATGTAATGTTATTTATGAATGTGTTACACAAACACAAAAATATGGAATGTGAACTGAATGACTGAACAGATTGAAAGCACAAATACAATGAAAAGGGGCCCCCATTAGTGAAAACCCAGCAGAAGAAAACAAATGAAGTGAAGGGTGTAGAATTTAAACAATTTAGCCCAGAAGGAAAAAGAAGCCCACTTCTTCCAGCGGCTAATCCACTGTGAAATGCTTCTGCATCTAACAGCAGAATCTCTAATTAAATCTCTAGTGTATCAGGTAAGGCTTTCCCTTGCCATTCATTAATCACAACTTTCCGCCTTGAATTCTGTGAGTTCCAGTTTTACCAAATAGCTCAAATTGCAACCTTTTTAGACACAGGAACCAGCTTTTTTACAAAGAAAATGCAGGCCATTCTATGGTAAGCCTGAGCATTGTACTGAGTAAGAGCACTCTACAATGGCAGAGCTGCATTGCAGGCTAATCTTTTGTTGAACAATTTAGCTTCTCTGAATGCGCTTGTTTTGTGTCAGCCAATTCAAACATAAAGACCAAAGTACTGTGGAAGAAGAAGAGAGTGCGCAAGTGGTTGTCCTTTCCCACCATTGAGGGTTAAGGTCTGGTGTCCTTCATGAATATGACTGTAAACCTGCTGGCGAGAGGAAAACCTTACTATTGGCTGTCCACGGGTAAACGGAGACAGAAGCTAAGCTCCAGGATGCATTTTACAGCTAATGCATTGGGGGGACTTTTGGTCTTGGGCAATAGAGTGAAGGAGAAAGGGGCAGAAAGCGAAGATGAGGGCGACACCTTTTCTTCACTGACTACATGGTTTAAACAGGAAACACTCATCTGATCAAATCTATCAACATGGAAAGCTGCAACGATTACCCTTTTATAGTAGGATTACCATCAGGGATTTCTGGTCTGCATTAGCAGAAAAAGGTAAAAAAAATCTAACAAACTAATCTTCTACCATAATGTAAACGAAACACAGTTTTATACTGGGAAACACCCTCAGTAAGAGGCGCTGGAGACATTTGCATCTCATCAGTCTAGCTCTAGAATAAACAGACTGATTATAGATCTGACCACATTGAGTATACAAAACTTCTGCCCGTGACATGCTGTTGGGTTAAAGACCTATATCTTTTCTTGGAAGTCTGCAGTCTTCCTCTGCTCTTGAAAAAAAAATGCCTAAGTTTTACTGGTTAATTTAAAAACCCATCTTCAAAAAACCTGAGAAAAGAAACTTACTTGGTTGTAGAAATTGAGATGCCCAAGCAAAGACAACATTTAATGTGTTGAAACACCTACTCTGATATTTTAATTCCAGTTAAAATCTTAAATAAGGGGACAAGTAGCCACAATCCACCAAAACACTGGTAATGTGTAGGGTATTTCCATTTGTTCCACCAAACATGTGTAGCACCCCACCATAATGAATGAAGACTGCACATTAGGAGCAGCTAATTCTTGAACATTCTTAAACTGCTCTGGGTCAATTCATGTTTGTTGTCTGAGATAAAAGACAAGACAGCAATACCCTTCCCCATTATTCTTATCACAGAAGCTGATCAAATTGGCTGCTGAGACACACTTCTGTAGTGATGACAGGGTAACATCTTTCCCTGCATTTGAGGGACACAGGCTAGGTTGGGGAATGTAGGGCAAGCTGCATCATCTAACCCAGGCCTGTGTCCCCCAAACACATTTTGGCCCACACCATTGGTCACTCATGCCTGCCTGCCACCACTTCTTTCTCCCATCTAGTACCCATCATCTGATAGCTAGGAATATAGCAACCTCGTACTGGAGATTAAGGTTTTGAGAAAGAAAAGTTTAGATACAAGTCTGTGGGAAACAAAAGCCACTGCAAGCAGTCAGAACTGCCTTGCAGAGACTCTCCAGAGTTTCAGATTAGAGTTTTTCATTGCTCTGTTAGGGGATGCCCATACTTGAACCTGGGGTCTTTCTGCACTACAAAGCATGTGCTCTGTCAACTGAACTGTGGACGTGTTTAGGAACTAAACATTTGAAGATGATGGCAAAGAGAATCGAGAACCCTTGGACAGCCAGAGAATCTGTTGCAGAGCTAAATGTAAAGCAGCTTTTGCATCTGGTGAATTGGGAAAGAAGAAACAATTTCATAAACACTTGCAAGACTGCTATAAAATATACTTCTTCTTTATTGCTCTCCTCTGTAAACACCACAGTATATGATTTAATTTTTGCAGTACTGTTTACCATTCATCAACCTAACTTTTGTCAGCCTTTATAGTCCATTGGTAATTGTGGCCTCTGATATCTTGCTTTTATGTCTCAGTTGCCATCCAATGCCACAAAGAGAAAGTGTGGTCTTTCTGCCTAGTAACTTTTACAGAGACTGCTGGGAGAAAAGCAACGTCCATTTCACCAATCCCCTCAAATTCTCTCCCAAAGAGGGAAAATTACCAGTTTCATACTTTTATGTCAAATTCACATTCTTAATTCAACCCACAAGAAAACAGGATCCATTTAAGCTCAGAAAGAAAGGCCTTCAGGCTTCACTTTGAGGATGTTATATTACATTCAGAGATGAAATACTGTAGATGCTGCCTGTTCTTACTCTACACTGAATGTTTTATTTCGGTAAGTCAACATTTTCTGCAAACTTCACCAAAATGGTTAGGGCTAGAGAGTTTTAGTTTCAGGTTGTTTATACATTTGTAGACCGTTCCACGCAAAATATTTGGTATATACAGTATATCTTTTCAAAGCGCAGTTCGGCTAAAGGGCATGGTTCAGCTAACCATTAGATTTTACTTTGCTACTGAACAAACTACAGGCTGCAGAAGGCCCTTTCTGATCTGGAATCAATTTTTAAAGGAACAAAATCAAGGGCCTCTGGTGGAAGCAGGTATTAAAATGCAAGAAACTGTTATTAAAACAGAGTGTAAGTGGAACCACGAGATCAGCAAGCACAGCACAACATGCATGGCATTATAACAGTAGGCAGACAAAAATCCGTAACAGCACTCCCATGAAAGGAACCTTATTTATCTGCTATTAGCCAAACTGACTGAAGTGCCTCAGCACAGCTCAGTGTTCAAATGAAATCAAAGTAAAACAGCACCCCTCCTAACTGCATTTAAAATTATCTAGCTGTAGGTATCTTTGGTCAGTCAGATAAATGAGGCTCTGCTGAATTTATCTGATTTCAATATAGCTAGGCTGGGTTGCAGGGAAGCTGGATGCATGTATTTTTTACCTGACAATAAAGTCAAATTCAGATCCTGCAAGCATTAGTACACCAAGCAGCGTAGACACAGCTCCATCCAGCACAGGTGCAAACATGTGCTCTAATGCAAGGACAGCCCTGCGATTCTTGTCTCCTATTGCAGTGAGAAATGCCTAAAAAAAGTGAAGTTCATATCATCAGATTAGTGTGTACAGCCCATGGAGATTCCTAAACACATGGAGATTAATTCCCACACACACACACACCAGAAAGAAAAATCTGTGCAAGCTAAACCAACTGACTAGCAATTTTCGACTTCAGATATATGACCAATTGGCTCATTTGCACTTTAAAAGGACTTTGGTCTTGTTTTAGTTTGCAGTAAGAACACAAGGCACTTGTCTACCTTGCTCAGCATTGCCAATGCTACTACTAATAGTAGTTCTCTGGGGTTTCAGGCTGAATTCTTTCCTAGCCCTGTATGGAAATCTCTGGTATTGCCTAGTGGTTTCCCATTCATACCAGCACTGACCCTGCTTAACTTCTGAAAACAGACAATATGGAGTGATTTTAATAGGGTATGGTGGTAGGTTCAGGGTGGTATAGAAACAAGAAGCTGAATGTGCAAAATGAAACCCACTAGGATCCATGAGAGCTTGGGAAGGTTACTTTTTGGATTGCTACTTCCACAATTTCCTGACCAACATGGTAGAGATATAGTTGAAAATGTAACTTTTCTGAGCTCTAGGATCCATTCTTACCTTGAAATGGTGCACCCTGCCTTGAGGCCCTTTCATGAATTTCAGATATTTCAAAGCTAGCCACAGATGCATGGTTAAAGCAGCAATGGGCAATATGTGGGCTTCCAATTGTTGGTATACTACAATTCTCATCAATTCTGTACTGAATGGAGTCCAACAACATATGGAGAGCCATGTATTCTTCAACCCCCAAATGAAAGGCTTTATACACATTAGTCCTGAGTAAAATGTGACAATTAGCATTATAATCACTATGCTTTTTGCATTTTAGGACTGATTTAAATACTTTTTAGTAGTTATAGAAATTTTTTAAAATGTTATGAAGACTGATCAAATTTTAGAAATCACTGGCTGTTGAGACTTTGGATTAAAGACTTCCTCTGCACTGCTCTGTATAAAGTTCAGTGACTAGCACAACTTCAGAAATTTTAATGGCTTTATTATAAAATGTTTTATATTCATGATTTTAATGGTTTTATTGCTTAATTTGTGTGTAATGATGTTAGCCACCCCGAGCTCTATTTATAGTGGAACAGTGATAAGTATCTATCTATCTATCTATCTATCTATCTATCTATCTATCTATCTATCTATCTATCTATCTATCTATCTATCTATCTATCTA